AATATTATTTAACTAAGATAGATCTAGATTTATAATAAAAGAGTTATTATTTTAAYTTTAAAATATATWAAAAGTGAAGTACTATTAGATAAAAAAATATTATTATATTAGAAAAGTATTATCTAAAAAAGTAAATTATCTAATATAATAAAAAAAATACTAACTAAAAATATTATAAGTAATAAAGCTTTAATAATTTAAAAAATATAATAAATAAAAAATAAAATTATTAAATTAAAAATTATTTAAATTTTAAAATCTTAACTTAAAATTAATAAGTTAATATTAGTTAGTTAGTTAGTTAGTTAGTTAGATTTGATATACCTGCTGTAGCTAGCTACGGTCTAAAGGGCCGCTATCCAGGTGTGTGCCTGAGCCGGCAGGCACCAATATAAATCGTGGCGCAGCCACGGAGAGGCGCACCGCGAGGTGAGCCACAGAGAATGTAAACATACAAATGAAAAGCGGTCAAACGCGGCAAAACAATCAAAACAATCAAATAGTGCAAACGTACGGCCCCAGCAACCTTGTACGTAGTTCTCATCTTTCCGCAACTCCCACATTCCCACATTCTCACGTATCGCACCTGTACCAATTCTCGCACTAATTTGCTCCTTCAATCCCACATATCAATCGCGCGTGTACGTGCACCAATTCCTACATCCGCCTGTACGTCCCCAACGTACGGATTCTCACCCATTCGTACGTTTACATCTCCGCACTCATCCCCACGTTCGTTCTCGTCAACTGGCTCGCTTTGTATTGGTCCTAAGCTAATATCTGTATCGTTATTGGTCCTTACGGGTGAGTGAGCAGACCTGGCGCTCACGTCACCTGGGAGCGTTGTAATGTGTGTAACCAAGTCAGTGCCCTCGTCGCTTGGTTCGATATCTTGCTCTATTGTGCCCATTGCTTGCGGATCCGCGCCGGCAAATTGAGGTAAGATCCCCGTATCTTGGATGAACTGAGCGATCGCGACTGCAGCTTTCTTCTCACCCAATAGCGCTTGCAAATCGGTGGTCCGTCGGAAGCCTTTGATGCGCGTCCACATGAGTGCTCGCTCGTCCGCGTAGAGCGGGCATACGAGCAGAATATGACGTATAGATTGACCTGATAGTCCACAGCTGCATTGCGGATTGTCACGTTTGTTGATACGCCAGAGATATTGCGCCAATCCGATTCGCTCCGTACGAAGCTGTATCAAGATTGAGGACGTGGCTTTGCGTAGCCCAGCCCAATACTGGAAAATGCTCTTGGATGGTCGCGGAATCAGCTTTCTGGTAGGTTTTCCACTCTTTTGCTTGTTCCACGCTTTTATCCATGTATCGTGGACTTCACGGCGAATGCGGCGACGTGCCGCAGCGCCGAGCATGGTCCAATTCTTGATATCGCCTGGTACGACTTGTCGTCGTGCGCCCATCATTGCTGCACGTTTCGCTGCTCGATCTGCTGCTTCGTTCCCGGGAATGCCTTCGTGACCTGGAATCCAATACAAAACCACGTCGATACCCATTTCCACGCATTCCCAGTACGATTCAATACAGTCCTGGATATATACTTGACCCGAGCTCATCTTTGGATTGAGCATTGCTCGGAGCGCTGCCTGACTATCCGAAAAGATTGCCACCTTTTTAAGACGCGTATCATCTTCCGCGAATCGTATCAGCGTTTGCAACGCGAATCGTATCCCACATGCCTCCGCGGCGTACACCGTTGACGTGTCTTCTGTACCAATACACTCTGTGAGCTGTCGCCGCAATTGAGGAATCACCATTGCCGTGCTAATAAAGCCTTGATAACCGCTACCATCCGTGTACAGTGATACGCGCGTATTCTCTTTGAGCACACTGTCGTGTATAGAGACCGCCTTCTCACGCTCGTCGATTACTATACGTGGAGGTTCTCGCCAGGGTGGCTGGACGTATGCTTCACGGCTCTCCTATTGACCTGCCAAAGTACCAGGGGGAGCATGTAGGCACCCGTTCTTTTTCCAAGCGTGAGCCTCCATCGGGGTATAACCACCGAGCGTGAGTTGGTGATCCGTATGTCGTCTCAGCATGCCCTTAGGAATGCCGTGTATCGGACCCGTACGTATCCGGATAGCAGTGGTTTTGACGAGCTGATCTAGATATTGGCGTATCGGCATGAGATTCAACTCCGCGTTGAGGGCTTCTGCCGCAGTGGTACGAAACGCACCCGTGATCAGGCATGCTGCCCGTTTTTGAATATTCGCGAATTCTCATGTGATCTTGGTGAGTTGGCTCTGCGCCATATTCCCTAGTTGATACCACGCCGCAGCACTGTAGAGCATCTGCGGAATCACTATCGCCTGATAGATGCGGCGCATCGATCCCAATGCTGCTCCCCATGTCGATCCTGCTAGTCCTCGTAGTGCTTCCAAGCTGGTGCCGGCTTTGGCAACCGCCTTTTCGCGGTGTGTCTCAAACGTAAGCTTGGAATCAAGCCAGATTCTGAGATATTTGACTGCGTTGCTTGTCTGCCTTATTGTACTGTCCTGCAATATGATGGGTTGTGAATTCGGAGTGAGATCACTCCGCGGATTCATAAAATGGATGAGTTGATACTTCTTTTTGTCAAAAACTGAGGCATGGCGTAGAGCCCATTGGTCTGCAATAGCGCTGGCGTGTTGAAGCTTTTCAATAGTCTCATTCTCGCTGTAGCCCGCAGCAATCATTCCCATGTTGTCGACCCATCCGCTCGTAAACACCTGGTTGGGCGGATCCGCGCAGTCCTCCACCAAATCGGAGTTGTAAATGAGATACAGAATCGGTGATATTGGTGAGCCCTGCGGAATGCCTGTTGGCGTAGAGATCGTATCTGATATGCCCTCTGGGATGCGTATCTTGGTGCTTCGTCCAGTGAGAAAGGCGGTCACCCACGGCACAAAGTGGCCGAGGCGCTGTTTTCGCATATTGTGCAGTAGTCGTAAGTGGTGCGCGTTGTCGTACGCGCCTGATATGTCCAATAGGAGCATTGACACCACACTAAATCCGTCACCCTAAGCGCGTTGTATCCGGTCTAAGATAATCTGTATCGCGTAATCCGTTGATATCCCCTTACGGCCTCTGAGATGGCCTTGTGGGAGCAGACCCTCTGATTCCATAGCGTAGCTGATTCTACGCGCCACGATAGCTTCAAGGAATTTCCCTATCGTGTTGAGCAAGGCCACGGGACGATACGCTTTTGGTGTTGTATAATCCCGGTCTGTGCCTGCCTTCCGTAGTACTACTGTAATCGATTGTTGGAAGTGAGATGGATTGTAGCCTGTCTGAATATATGTGTTATATATCTGATAGAGCGTATCAAGCACCACAGGGATGCCCACTATTAGGTGCCAAAAGCTATTAGGGATAGAGTCCTCACCCGGAGCCTTGTCTGGTGGTGTTGAGTGGATCACACGCTCAATCTCGTGACGTGGGATCTCGGGGAACGACAGCTGCTCGGGATATTCAGCATTGCTGATATCTGATAGGTCTGCCTCAGGAATCTGGGGAAAGAAGGCTTCGCTAAGAAGCGCCGTCTTATCCTCAACTGATTCCGCGGTATCACCGTTGGGTGCTTTCAATGTTGGTGTGATCCCTGATTCGTACGCGCCTTTACGTGAGTGTGCCCACTTCGCTAGCCTCCATAGACCTAACGGACCTTGTTCGGTAGCTTGCTGGACACGGCGGCGATGGCCTAGCCTCAAGGACTTGCTCACGAGTCGTTTCTTGTGATTCTGTGCACGTAGATACGCGCGCCAGATCCACGGATTGTGGGTATTGGAGTGTAAGTGGCGTAAGCGGCGGCATGTCCGTACTGCCTCTTTGTATTCTGGGGTAAAATCAGGGTTGCTCCATTCGCTGGGCTTCGCCCACGGGACGGATTGGTCAATTGCGTGTCGAATTGTGCTGGTAAACGCGATAGTGGTGAGCTCAATGTGAGATTTAGAGGTATTCCCAAGATCTGGGACCATGATATCACACTCCAATATTTTAGTAAGCTTCTCCATGTCAGTAGCTTTCCAATTCTGGCGCTGCGGAGGTTCTTTGATTGGGGTTTGAATGTCAATCCTTGTACGAATTGGCCAGTGATCAGAGTCGTGTTGTATGGTATCCGCGCGCTCTATCAGGATGAGGCGGTTGAAAAGGCTCATGGACAAGAATGTGAGGTTAATTGTGGATTTAGATTGGCCACGTTCCCACGTGACGGTGCCTTCCTCGGTGGCGAGCTCTAAATCGTGATAGTCCGCGATTTTGAGTAATTCAGTGCCTTTGCTATCAGTTCTCGTGCCCGGGCCACCCCATGCGGGATGGTGTATGTTCATATCCCCGAGGACTAGGTGCTCTGTGGTTAGGGAGTGTCTGATTTGGGTAAGTTCTTGGTGGAGCAGATCGAATGTAGATAATCTAGTGTTGTTATATATATTGTGGATATAGAGGTTATGCAGCGTCTCGTTATGTAGATGCTGTAGGTGTAGAATCTGATAATCTGGTGATACTGTGGTGTGTGTCCACATGGCGGGATCGATTTTCTTGTTGATGTACAGCGCCATGCGTGCTCGTACGCCGTCCATGGCCTTGGGGTGAAGCAATTGGTGGGTCATTCTCGCGGGCTGGTGCGTGGTGTCGTCGTATTCATTCCTCCACGGTTCTTGAATTGCGATAATCGATGCTTTGAGGACCTCGGGGTCATGGAGAAAGGTGGCCATGACCTTGTCTTTTGATTTATGCGTGTTGTACTGCAGGATCTCGAACAGTGTACTTATAAGAGCTCGTCCGGACTTGATCGCGTGGTTATACTGATTCTATCTACGTCTTCCTCCGTGATAGATGGATTCCGGGGATAGTAGCTTCGGTGGTTCGTGAATTTGGATAGTAGGTCTTGACGTACGTTGGAATTGAGCTCTCCGCTATCAATCTCTTGATAGCTCGGTGCGCTATTCAGTACGACGTTCTGGTTATCGATATTCATATCCATTGGCGGTAGTGGTGGCAACGGCGTGTTATCGTACGATTGAGACTGAGTCCGCTCACGGCGGCGTTGCTCCCGGAGAGGCTGTTCCGGGTCATTGCGCATATCAACTGGCTGGTTGAGGCCTCGTGAGCGTAACGATTTCCGCGTTATCGTTAGCGCTGGCGCTGTTGACGCGGCTATACTGTGATTACTGAGTTGAGCTGGATTGATAGTAGCTAGTTGGCTAGCTATCAAAGCAGTATCAATATATTCCTGGGGCTTTGCTGCTTCGTCCTCGTTGGTGGACGATTTGGACTTAGGAGGTCGTCCCCGGGACCGTTTCTCAGGTTGGAATGATACCGCTTTGGCAGGACCTTGGACGGGGGGTTGCTCAATTGTTGGAACAGCTGCTTCGGGCTCATGTGCTGATTCGGGAATTGGTGCTGCTTCGCGAATTGGCGCTTGAGTTGACTCAGGCATTGATTCCGCTGTTGTCGTTGCTTTCTTACCCTTTGTCGTGGTCTTTTTGACGGCCTTTTTCTGGGCCTGCGTAGTCTTTTTGGTAATCTGCGCTGCCTCGGCAGGCGTTGGCCCAGAGGCCATATGCTTAATCATTCTTGCTTGTAGAAACTGTGGAACGCGGTGTCCTGTGCCCATACTGACCACCTGACGTGCACGTGTGCTCTCACGTTGCCGAGTCTCACAGTCCGCGCTGGCGGCCTTGTGAGACCCCTTGCAATTGGCGCATTTATATGCAATATTCCTATTCTGCTTGGACGGGCATTCCCAGGTTGGATGCTCGTCCGCGCAGAGACCGCATATATATTTCTGGTTGGGACACTGAACTTGTACGTGCCCGTAGTGTTGGCACTTCCGGCACATCTTCACCCGTCCTTCTCGGTAATAAGGCCTGTTGGTGAGTGAATGGGCACGCCACACCGTCCCGCTAGCAATGGCATTGTTAGCTACTACGGGGCTCGTGAACTCAACGATGAGTGAGCCAGAGTAGCCTCGTGGTTTCGTTAGCCAGCCCACGTATGCGATCTCGACCTCGAACCCTGGTTGGCCCCAGTTGGTGTTCTCTGCAGCCAGCTCCTGCTTGAATTCTTCGCTCCTCTCTACGTGTCGTACGGGGATGCCGTTAATGACGATTCCCCACGTAGGAACACGCACGTACGCGGACTTGCTAAAGGTCGTAACCCAGCTTCCAGCGTGCTTCCGAAGGACCTCGGCTCCTGCGGCATGGCTTGCGCGGAGACTGATATTATCGGATGACAATTGACGTGCGGCCTTGAATCCGTGACCCGCGAGAGCTAGGCTTGGAGTGCTCTTTGCTGCGTGAGCCCTAGCTCGCTCGGCATGGTCCACGATGTCCTTTGGTTGCAGCTTTTTGACGTGTGCACGTTCCGAATCGTCGCGAATCTTGACCACGATTTCGCTGTCCATGCCCAGCTCAACATGGCTGACCCTGGGAGTGGATGAACTGGCACTTTGGGACTGAGGTGAGCTCGCGCTTTGTATGGCTGCCTGCCAGGCCTGCGCTTGGTGCGTTTTCCAAAAGATAGTGGAATCAGATGTTGTTGACGTGCCCGATTCCTTGCTTGATTGTGATATTTGTGTAGTTGTCGCACAGACTATAGTAATATTACTTTTGATGTGCTTAAGCAGCCCCTTGAATTTAACTAGTATATCTGTATGCTCGCCTTGCGCGATTGCAAAGTCCTTGATTTGCTGAGCGAATGCCTTGATAAAGGGTTTATTGATGTATTCGCTCGATTTGCTCTGTATGATCTGTAGTATGAGATCTGCTACCTTTGTGAGTTGCTCCATCGTCGTGAATCGATCCTTGATAATCCGATACATACGCTTTCTTGTGTATTGTATCTGGTCTCGCTGTCTCTGTTGATTAATTTCTGATAGTGTATTATCTACGCGTTGCTGCTGCTGCTGCTGCTGTTATGTGTTATTTTGTTATAGTGTTGTGTCGTGACGAGCACGCTGCGGAATGAGATTTTCGCCTGTCAACGGCGTCGTCACAGCACCCTCCTCCATCGCCAGCGATTGACCTAGTAAGACTAGGATCAATCGATAGCGCTGGATTCGGTGAATAAACTGCGAAATTTACAGCCGTTTCCGGCCGGATCTGGGCGCGCAATTTCAAAAATTCGATTCACGCGGAAGGAGATTTTTTTTTAATAAGTTAATATTATTTAAAGAAAATTTTAAAAGTTTATAATTTTTTTTAATATAAATATAACTTTATTTTATAGCTAATATTTATCTACTTATAAAAAAAATAAATAAAATTCTAGCTATCTTTACTTTCTTAAAAGAAAATATAATAAACTAATTTAAATTATATATATAAATATAATTTAATAAAATAAAAAATAAATAAGATAATAAAATTAATAAAATATTTACTAACTATAAAATATTTATTAAAAAAATTAAA